ACACACACACACACACACACACACACACACACACACACCAGGAAGTCCTTCATCTGCAGAAGAAACGCAGAATATGACTGTTTATTTGACGATTGAACACTATCTCATATGATTTGACAGAGATTCACTTAATTGTGTTGCCAGAAAAAGGTTTTCCTTGGCAATGGGGGAGAAAATAAATCCAGTTTTGCAGTTTGCTGATAAATATTTAATCTTCTGTTTCTACATTCAGACTGTTTTTGCAATATTTACATAGTGCCCTTCCTTAAAAACTGTTATGAGTGGATCTCACTTTACCAGATTAGGTTATGATAACTTAACGAGTAATGTGGCGTAAAAACAAAGTTGTAAAAACTACCATTTTACTTCCATTTTTACTGGTTCTCCACCAGCAAGTCACCTGCGACACCTAAATGTTACAATAGCTATATGCAATGAAAATGTCTAAACAAATTGAAACTAAATGTCAAATCATGATTTGAAATTGACCAAATCATTGGTTGATTTAAGGTAGTAAAATGAAAAATAATAACTTTTCTAGGTTTGGAAATGTTCATGAGACAGAAACAAAAAGTGTTGCCTTCACTTACGATCATACAGCAACGAAAGAAAAGGGCTCTTGTTTTTTAATTTAAGTGAGGAGGAAGTGTTGGGATTGACCAGGCGACGGTGCAGGGAAATACAAGACAACAAAATAACCAACAGGATGGAGTCAGTCGTCCTTCATCACTGACTCCGGATCAGTTTCACAGCTTATTCATTTAGACTCCAAGGTTTGATTTGGGGAGATTTTGTTGGAAAAATCCTATCATGTTGAAATGTTTACAGGTGGAATTCAATAGCTCATACTTCAGGATAACTGCAGTAACATTTTCACATTCCTGGTTTCAAACACAGCTGGAGGACATTTGTTTCTTTAGAAAAGAAAATCAGAAGGTTCAACATTTAGGGGAGAAGTCAACTACAATTCCCAGATAACACTGCAGCCAGACACATCCAATCATAGCTTCAGGATTTTGTTGCCCGGAGGGAAATTGCAGGAACATGTAGATGTTTTTCTGTATGTGCTACAACTCTTGACTTCCCAGTTTTTATTTGACCACATTTCAGTATGACACCCGGACCATTTCAATAATTGTTTACATTTGATATATTTATGGCGGGAAAGTACGGAGGCCGACAGGTGCAAACGGCCAAAAACATTTAGAATAGGAGAAACAAGCTTATATTCAGAAGTGATGCAAATATAAAAAATACCAGTTGGTGATCATTTTCTAAATGATGCACATTTCGTCAACTTGGTGAAGATGTTTCTTCATTTTCATGTCTTTTGGAAAAAATGTTGTGTTTTTATATTTGCATCGTTTTTGAAGGTGCACATGTTTCTTCTAATGGAAATGTTTTGGGCCATTGTAGCTCTTTTGCACCTGTTAGCCACCGTAGTAATGTGCTTTCATACATCTAACGGCCAAACTAATGGAGAAAACGAATCATATCTTGACCTTGGGGTGTGGATATCGGTCTTTGTTGAGGAACTTCAAGAACAATCCTTCAAAATCAACTCAAATACTATTTAACAGAGAGATTGCTCCACATTCACCCATCCCCTTTGCGTCTGGTGGGAACAAAAGAGCTCTACTTTGTAAAAAGTGACACCATGTTAGAATCTGTGAGGAGAAGAAAGCCATCACCAGGGCCATAACTCATGCTGCGTTCATGTCGTACAGGATTTTAAGCTTCAGGCTAGAAAATAAAACTCAATGCAGCATTACATGAAATTGGAAACTCAAATTGTTGATTAGGAATTTGGCCTTAGAAGGAGATTGTACGTGAAGGGCGAAACTTTAAAATTATCTAACAGTATTATTGTGAAAGAATCAAGTAGGAGAAAAACAATATCTCAGGTCATGGACGCGAACGCAACACTGAGTTCGGAAAATAAAAAGAAGAATAAAAAATGATAAATTCAAGAGAGTTTTGTTGTTGATTTTTTTTAAACCGCAGAAAAGATCCTTGGAGCTGATTCACTGTCTTCTCTTCTCTTCTCTTCTTCACATAAACAGGAGGAGGGTGGTGAACTGGGAGGCCCGGTGCATTATGGGTAGTGTAGTTTGACCGGAGCCATTCAGGACTGTCTGTTGTGTTGGTGCGGACTCTATGAGATGGCCTTAGCCTCGGGTAAGAAAGCATCCCAGTATTTAATCAGCTGTAAGAGGGAAAAAAGGAAACATATTCAGGTTTTGTTATTGTGCCTTTCATCCATTTTGGTTTTACATTGTGAACTCACAATGTAGGACAAAATCATTTTATTAAATACAGTTTGATAATTCATTTAAACGTTATGGTCCAGTGTACAAATGCCCTGTGGAAATGTGTCATTGTGGTATGAAACAATGCAAACATAATTGTCTTTAACACATCTCATTCAAAAGGCTCAAGAATCCATTACATTTATTTCAATTGAGTTTCGAAAAGTTGAAGCATCATACATGAAAATAACTTTTCAATTGAAATGGAATTTTTGGCAGCAGTACACTTCCATATGATTTGTGATAATTGATGTTATTCGATTTGACACAGTTTTATATTTAACTTATTAAATGATAAATTATTATGCTAAATGTTATAAATATTGAGGCTTTTACAAAAATATAATAATGATGTCTTTACCTGCTGTTGTGTCTGAACCAGTGACTCCAGGTATTTGATTATAATCGCTTTGAAGTCCGTCACTCTCTCTTTCTGTAAAAGTTGAAAGTCACACATCAGAGAACTTCAGAAATCATTCATTTAAACTCTCACTCACTGATCCATGAAATGCTCTCACCTCAAACCTGCTGACTTCTTTGCGTATAGTTTTGGAGATTTGTTCAAAGTCTCTTTCTCCCTGCTCCACCTTCCCCTCCAGCTGGAACACAAACAGAGGGTTTGTAAAACTAACCTCAAAAGTAGTTTGGCAATTAAGACAGTCATTTATTTGTACTCATTGGCTGACATTTAAAAATAATATATTTACAACTGAACAATGTTTCTGCACAGAAGCTATAGAGTGGTGCAGTGGTGACATATCTTTCGAGGCTGAACCAGAAGTTCGCATCACAAGAGCTTCCTCGACAAAAAGCAATGCGATTTCCCCATTGGATTTCAGTATATTACAGAAAAAAAGACTGTGGCAAACACACGTTTGATACTTACTTTTGAGTTGTAAATGTAATACAGTAGCCTGAAGTAAAAAGCTAACATTAAGCTATAAACTAACTTCAGCATGGTCACATGACTTCACATCTCCATCGCTAAGCTAAAGGCGGCTAATGTTAGGCGTGATGACATTTAGAAGTCTAATTTAGTAACTTGTTAGCAACACAGACATTTACGAGCACAGGTGGTAGAGGTAAAGAACAAATACCTAAACATTGTACTTAAGTACAGTATTGAGTAAATGCACTTAGTTACTTTACGTCACTGTTTACGAGTGGGGAGTTTACTGAGAAATGTAATGCCCTAGAACGTTAAAATCTCGTGAACCGGTAAACACAGACCTTAAACCAGGCATCTAACCAAAAATATGATTACAATATTGTTGAATCTGAGATGAGGAAACAGGAAGTGCTAAAATGCTGACTTATTTCCGGGTTTAGGACTCATTCCTGAACCACTTTATGTCATCCTGGATGATTATAAATCCAGAATTAATAAATGTAGCAAAATATATATTGTAACTCCACATACAGTATCACACAGAAGCAAATAGCTCATTATAATAAGATAATTTTTTTATTAACCGCTTTAACTGTGAGAATAGGAAACACTCATGAAATTATTTTCACATTAAGTAAATAGTTGCTCTCGAAAAGTCTTATTTTACAAAACATACACATTTTTACAAATGTACCGAATTTATTTTTAATTTACGGTTGAATGATGGTTTGTTGCTAATCTATTAAAGACAATTTGACAATTTAAAACACTTTGCTGAAATCATGACACAACATTTTTCTGCAGCAAGTTTCTAAGATTTGTAAAATGTAAACTTTAATTTCATCAAGTAAATGATCTTGCATGTACTTCCATCAAAGGAATAACCTTGCTTAATAAGAGGTGAAACGTGTAGTTTATTCATTGTTATTGGAATTTACTTAGCTAACACACCAACCACACTGTTACATGGGTGTTAAAAAAGGCTGAAATAATAATGGGAATTAATAAGATTCATACTAAGGTTATATAATGTATAAAGAAACTAAACCAAGTTTGCCCTGTAAGCCAAGTGGATGCAAATCTTCGTGATGTAAGGGGTCACATGAAAGGGGTTTGTCCGTGATGACATTTTAAGTTTCGAGTTAAAATGTTGAACCTAAATGAGCAATTCTAACACTGATGTTCAGAAAATTAACATTCCCAAAGAAAAAAAAGAAAATAAATTGATCTACTGACATACTTCTTCATGTGACTCAGAACTGACAGCAGGAAGGAAACGAAACAACGGAAACAAATACAAAATGAACATTGACACTAAAATATCGAACCCAACAGAGGTGAATTTGAAAATCTAAATGGTGCAATGAGGCAACTCAAAGGTGTGAAGCAGGCAGACAGACAGACAGACACACAGACAGACAGACAGACAGACAGACAGACAGACAGACAGACAGACAGACAGAGAGACAGACGGACAGGCAGACAGACAGAGAGACAGACAGCCAGCCAGACAGACAGACAGACAGACAGAGACAGACAGACACAAAGACAGACACACAGACAGACAGAGACAGACAGACAGACAGACAAAGAGACAGACAGACATACAGACAGAGACAGACATAGAGACAGACAGAGAGACAGACAGACAGAAAGACAGACGGAGAGACAGACAGAGACAGACTGACAGACAGAGAGACAGACAGAGACAGACAGACAGACAGAGAGACAGACAGACACAAAGACAGACACACAGACAGACAGAGAGAGACAGACAGACAGACAAAGAGACAGACAGAAAGACATACAGACAGAGACAGACATAGAGACAGACAGAGACAGAAAGACAGACGGAGAGACNTAGCGTCATAGGGTAGGGGCGGGATATCTCTAAGCGGTTGGGGCGGGATATCTCTAAGCGGTTGACCCATCACAACAGAGCCGGCCAGCTAACCAATCAGAGCAGACTGTGCTCTGGTTTCAGACAGAGGGTGAAAAGAGGTACTGCAGCACAGGCAGTATGAGAAAAATAAAGAGCTTTTTGAACATTTAAAGTATGGAGAAATGTCCCAGTAGAGACACTATCTACAAATATGAGCCCTGAAAATGAGCAGAATAAGGCCCCTTTATGGTTTGATTTGAACAGCGAGCCTGCATATGAGAAATGTCACTGGGTTATTCTACCCGAATGAGGGAATTGTTGTGCAGCATGCTTACAGGGCATTGCACAAGGTAAAGATAGGATAAAATATGATAAAATGTAATAGGAAACATCATATACGGTAGAATACACTGTAATAGACCAACTTAGTACAACAACGTAATATTTAAACAAATACTATTATATTCATACGTTATACAAGTGTGTGAGTGAAATTTAATTTGAAAAGAACATGAGATAATTAAATGAGACATAAGCTTCCAGAGGAATAATAAACAAATGTTAATAAAGGCAATCAAAAAGACATCATGTTGTACTGTCGTATACTAACTAAGAAAAAAGGTAAATAGACAGCAGTCACAACTTAATAAAAAAAGCAAATAACACCCGGCTAGTTTTAAAGAATGATAACGTTGTCCTTTTTTAGTCCTTATTACGTCTGTAATCATGTCGGCATTCATTTTACCTGAGTAATATCTTTGTCCTTAAGCCTATGTGTCAAATAATTACTGCAGAGGTTAATGATTTGCTATATCTCTAAGTGTAATATGAAATGATAAACATGGCAAAGTTAGTGCTTCTCAATCTGGTATAAAACATAGCTCTCTTCCCTCTGTGGCTCACCAGTGAGGTAAAAGAAGCGCACCTCCACAGTTCAGTCATGTGAAAAGTTTTTATCTTATTTATTTTTTATATAGAAATCTTGTTTTCCTCCAGTCTGTAGACTCAACTCAGAACGACAAACAACAGCAGTAGAAAAGTACTTTATTAGAGCATCTGTTGAAGCTGTCACCACACAAATTCATCCTCCCTGTCAGGAAACAGCTCACACACACACACACACACACACACACACACACACTCACACTCACACTCACACTCACACACACACAGCTGGTGTGGTTGGGGGTCTGGTATTAGAGCTGAGGAGCTGTCAGATGTGGGGTTTTGGGAGGAGGACGGGGGGGTTTGGGGTAGGCTGTCAGAAGCTGCAGACGAGGACAGATCGCAGTAGAGTTACAAACCAACATTTATTTGGAGCCGACAAGAGTTTTGCCGCCCGTCAGGAGTCGGGTTTTGGTTCACGGCTTGACAACAGCCAACAGAAAACACACACTGGCTTTTTCTGAAGAATAAAAAAAATACTTTTACTTCACACTGCTGCTGTTAATGTTGGAAACCTGGTGAACAGCTGCTACACAAACACAGTTACAGAGAAGGACTGTAAATACATAAGGAGCAAATCATTCAAAGGTGGGTTAGGTAAGTTTGAGAAACCGGCTCGAGATACACTTTTTGTTATATTCCATGGAATGCTCTTAACATCCCGATAGCAATGAATATCTTAAATACTTTGACAAAAAATCCATTAAAAAATGTCATCTGTGGAAGCCATAGTACTGTAAAAAGCATGACCAATCATCTGAGCCGGCCCGGCTAAAATAACTGGATGGCCTACCTGCCTGTCAGCCTTCCATCTGTGCACAAACTTACCTCGTGCCCTCATTGGTCATGTGCGCGTTCGTGTGTGTTGGAGGAGGGGCTCTGTAAGGAAGTAGCAGATTTCTTCCGGTTGTGTATTTTCAAATTCTAGCGCACTCGAGCTGGTTTCTCCAAAATTACCTACCCCACCTTTAAATAAAAGTGTGATTTTGTGTGCAGGATCCTTTTAAAGAGGACATATTCTGCTCATTCTCAGCTTCCTATCAGTATGTTGTGTCTCTACTGGGACATGTCTCCATGCTCTAATGTTCAAACAGCTCTTTATTTTTATCATACTGCCTGTGCTGCAGCACCTCTTTTCACCCTCTGTCTGAAACCAGAGCCCAGTCTGCTCTGATTGGTTAGCTGGTTGGCTCTGTGGTGATTGGTCAACTGCTTACAGATGTCCTGCCCCTTAGCCTATCATGTATAATGTGTGTGAGCGCTAGCCAATAGAAGATTGAATGTTACATAGTGATGTCACTATGTTCAGGAAGTAAACAAATCATTCCAATAGGCATTTCAGGCCTGGGGGGGAGAGTGTGTGGGAGAGAAACTCCCTCTGGAGGGAACACAGAGATGTTAGCCTTTGCAGACCATTTACATGCACTAACAATTATAAAACACACTACAGGAAGGGGTTCAGAATAAATGTTAGGTTTCGTGGAAAGGATAATAAACAGAGGGAGTACGAAATGGAGGATTGGAATTAAATAATTGTTGTAGCTACAAAGATGTGCGCATCACCACACACAGAGACATGTGGTCCATGCATTTGACTCATCTTCATTTTGAGGAGCTTTTATACACGCTCCATACTTTGTCTGATCCGGGACTTCAACCGACCACCTTCCGGTTCCCTATAGACTGAGCTTCTGCCGCACAAAAAGCATAAGCGGTAAACATAACTTATTGTTATTCGACATTTTGTCATAACTTGACAAATTGTAATTGACTCACTTTGTTATGTAGTAATCTGCTGCATTTTGTAATAAACAACTTGAATATGAATTATGTTTCACACACTTTGAAGTAGAGTATTTGTTAATTATATAATGCACGAGTTGCTCTTTTATTCATGAAAGCCCGTTATGTCTTCACTCATAACGATCATTTCATATTATTTTAACAACAATGTTCGAATCATGCATCAAAGCCTGAATCATACTGACCCCAAATGTCTTTTAGAAGATAAAATGAGTTCTTGTTGGATCTTCAGAATCTTTTTTTAACGGCCAAAAAAGCATTAAGTTTCACAATATTTTTTTCCTTTCTAGAATACTACATGTACATAATAACAATAATAATAATATTGTATTCTTACATTACTGCATGTATTAATACATTTATATTAAAAACATTGCAGCAATTTTTAACAACCACTGCAACATTTCATTTTATTTCAATGTATAAATCATTCAGGCTGTTGCAGCAGGTCATTAGAATGGCATTACATAATGTTATGTTGAAGAGAAAGGGTCAGAGGTCGATAAAATTGCACCATTGCAAACATCGAAAAAATGATTTGCCAACTTTAGACCACACTTCCTTTTTAAAGTATTTATATTTAAATATCTATATCTAATCGGTTGACCTTAATAAATAACACAATAGAAATGTATTGTTTTCATTGCAATGGTTAAATTACACCGTAAACAAGATTATTACTTTTTTCTACGCCCTTGCAGACCATTTACACGCACAAAAAGTCACTATTCATACAGACAATCCAAACAGACCAAAGAACTAAATTAGTAGAAGATGTGTACATTGAAATTATTTTTGATTGAATATGTCAATTTGTGCACTTTGTATTCACATCTTATTCATAAATCCAGCTTGACAACCTACACACAATACATATTTGGTATTTTTCTCCTAATGCAAATATGTAGAATCTTTTTAATACAGGAATAATAGAGCTAAACACATTGTCATGGCCATGTTTTTCTTACATTTATATTTAATGTCAGTTAACATTGAAATGAACACTAAAGAACACCTTTTAAAACTCAGAGATGAGACGCGGCAGGGTTTGGGCTCTGCTGTCACATTGTGAGCCCGCACTGCCCCCTATGGGCTCCACACAGGAGCTACAGCCAGAGAAACACTGCTGCTGACTGCACAAAGACACTGTTCCTAGGTCATTTTTTCAATTAAATTAGTTTTGTTCTGATATTAGTGTAGTAAAGGGTGTGAAACTCTTGCTTGCTCTTTTCTCGGATACAACCATGTCAGTTAAAATGCCTCAATCCTCTTGTTTAATGCAGCTTCTTAAATATAAGAATGTGCTTTTTTTTCTCTGCTTTATTTAAATGAAATTAAAGTCATTGTTTGTTTCTTGCTCAGAAACATTGAGCAGTTAAAAGACATGAGTTTGGAACTAATATTTGCTTCATTTAGGCCCATATTTAGAAAATATTCTAAAGTAATTCCCCTAAAACCAAGTTACAATATTGTACCCGGCTAGCTGTTTCCCCCTGCTCCCATTCTTTATGCTAAGCTAGGCTAACCACATCCTAATGTATGGGCTAGTAAAAAAACAAATCACACAATATTTGGTCAAAACAGAATATCTGAAAATATAATAATAGTGATTGTCCATTCCCTCTAATATTGCACGTCATCTCACAATTACAAAATAAGATTTTTAAAAATGTCTGACACAATATTTAATATCCATCTTCTCCTCCTTTTATTAATTATTTATCAAACCTTTATTTAACCAGGTGGTCCCATTGAGATCATCGATCTCTTTTTCAAGGGAGACCTGTCCAAACCTCCTACTTTTGGAAAGAAAGAAAACTAGTGTATTTAACATGATACTGAACTATTGCTTAGCTAAGGAACTCATACTCAAAATAAACAAAATTACAATAAGTTGTTGATAAGTAATGAAACACCAAATTGCTCCCGTAAAATAACGTGAAATGTAATATTAACAGTTTAAAATTCTTAAAATCTCCCCCCCTTTAAAGCATGTAACATGATCTGGTGTTAGAGAGTCTCAGGGAGGGCTTTCCTTTGGTTCCGGTTTCGTTTTCCCTCGGTGTTTGCTCTCAGTTCTCGGGATCTTCCTCTATGATTTTGGAAGCTCAGAACATTTTTCCTGCCTCTTTAAATTTTGTTGCATTTTCCCTGCCATGCCTTCCTGCAACCAGGAGATTGAGGAGGTAGGACCTGTCTGTGTGTCTGTATGTCTCTGTCTGTCTGTCTGTCTGTCTGTCTGTCTCTCTGTCTCTCTGTCTGCCTGTCTTTGTGTCTGTCTGTCTCTGTCTGTTTCTCCGTCTGTCTGTCTGTCTCTGTCTGTCTCTGCGTGTCTCTCTGTCTGTCTGTGTGTCTGTATTATCTCTGTCTGTCTGTCTCTGTCTCTCCGTCTGTCTCTGTCTGTCTGTCTATGTCTGTCTGTCTCTGTCTGTCTGTCTCTCTGTCTGTCTGTCGGTCTTTCTGTCTGTCTCTGTCTGTCTCTCCGTCTGTCTGTCTGTCTCTGTCTGTCTCTCTGTCTGTCAGTCTGTCTCNGGAAAAGAGAGAGGGTTTTATTGTCTGACGCTGCGTGAGTTGTCTGAAGCTGCAAAATGCACTTTCTGATGTCTTTTATACATAAAGATGTGTCCCCGGCGCTTCAGACAACTCACGCAGCGTCAGACAATAAAACCCTCTCTCTTTTCCTCCGTACCCAAATCTTTTAAAAACAGGGGTACAACGAGCGGGTACAGATTTCCTGCCGATCTGACGTCAAATCGGCAGCGGACCCACAGAAAATTGCTATCAGAAACAATGCCCGACATGTTTTGGACGTAATCTCGTCTTTGTTTACATTAGCAAGCCTCGCTAACACTCAGAGCTAACCTGTTTAAAAAGCAGGAAATACAAAAAGGAACTCACCTTGTGATAAACCCGCAAGAGAAAAAGCCTTTGAGCTCCATACTGTTTCAGAAATAATCTTTGATGTGGTTTAGAACAGGATGGCGTTTTATCACAGCAGAATGTAACTTTATCTCGGGTAGAATTCTGATCAGGCATTTCCTCCGCCTCCTCGTTTTATTTTTTTAAAGCTAAGGACCCAAAATCCGCGTTTCTCTAACAGGGCTGCAAAAGAGGGGTCTGAGCATTATGAGGGATGGCTACAATGGGTGATCTGTTTGGTATTTTAAGCAAAAAACTTCACAGACATGTTTTGTATAGGTATGGCCCTACAATATATTTTTCCAATATAGCATGATAGTTCCACTTTAATTTACGTCAGAATCAGAAATTATTTTTCTTTTTTTTATATAATCTTTTTTTTTTTTTACTTTTCTTACTTTTTTTTAAAAAAAATTAATTTTTTTATAATGGGACACAGGGTTCGGTCCGGATTGATTTGCAGTTCGGTCCGGATCCGGACCTTGGTCCGGAGTTTGAGAAGCCCTGG